CTACTATAATATCTTTCCAAAAAGCCACATGCGAGGAAGTTCTGCATTTTCATTTGCATAACTAATAAATTTTCACAGTGTTGAATATCTTTTAGAGTGGTCTGGATTGTCTCTAGCAGCCCTTCCTGTTTCAGTTAATTTTTCTTTGAACATGATGTTCCAGAGCTTTGTGTATTTATGTATATCTGGCCTTTGCTCCCCTCAACTCAAGGTCACTTCATCCTCACAACAACCACCCTGCGAGGTAGGTCAGTGTATGTGTGAGAGAGTAGGTGGTTGACATCCCCCAGTGGATTTTGTGGCTCAGTGTGAGCTGGCACTGGATTTTCCCAAGCTCCTGTCTGATATCCTAACCCCTGTTTGTTGTGATGCTTGTTGCTGTGTGCCTTCAAGTCATTTCTGACTTACAGGATCTCTAAGGTGACCCTGGTAGGCAACATGGTGTAGTGGTTTGAATGTTAGACTATGACTATGGAGACCAGGGTTCGAATCCCTGCTCAAGTACACATTTTACAGGGCTGTGTTATTGCCTCCCAGGATCTTCTATGGAAACAGTGGGACATAGTTGCCTGCTGTGCTTGCTGTACCACTGTGCATTCCACTGTCCATTCCATCATACATTTGGTGAGAAATGTTGCCATTTGATGCAAGTGTTGCACGACATGGACATTGCTCATCTCCACATGCAGAGATTGGTTTTATGCATCACTGACTTACATGGCACATCTTGTTCCCTGTATGTTTCTATTCAGAGCTGTCTTACCCTTTCTCTTTTGTCTGTACCACAACTACTGTGTGAGGTAGGTCAGGCTCAGAGAGATCAGGGGGCCAAAGGTTGCCCAATGACTTTCAGGGCTCAGTGGAGGCTAGAACTGCATTTCCCCCCCATGCCCCAGTCCAGCATTGAATCACTGCATCGAAGCACCCTCTGCATTTTCCTAGGCTGGAAGTGTTCTTTTGTTCCACGACTTCCAGTAGAATACAGGAATACCTTAGCAAACAATCAGAAAATTTGATAACCAGTGGCACAAATCACATGAGAAGAATATAGGTGGGTTCTTAAACTACGAGAAAGAACAGCAGGTCAATATGTTTCAGCACACTTTTGAGCCAGAACCAACATTATGCACATGTGAAGTGAAACCATAAGGTCAAGGAAGCCTTGCGTAAGTAAACAAAAACATTTGGAGCCTTCTAGAAACCAGCTGAAGGCTTTTTCAAAAATCCATTCAGGAATATCTTTTTCTTTCACCAGCCCCAATGTTTCTTATGATTTCTATGGCCAAACTGTATAGATCTATTATTTTAAAAAAGTATTTGAGGCAGGCTTCTCTGCACTCCCCTTTCCTTTCTGTTTAGCTGTTCCTGCCTGCTCAGTGAGGGCCTTTGGAGGCAGCCGTTGTTTCCCTTGATTGTTGTAGGCAGGCATACTTGACTGCAATAGGATCAGGTACAGTAGAAACCTCCTGTTTCTCAGCTCAAGCATTATTGCTTGCCATTATTGCTCCAAACATATTGCTGCAACTAGACACTGAAAATGCTTATGTTTTCTCCAGCCTTCTTTCACCACTCTTCCAGCAAATATGCTGCTAAA